TCTGAACTGCCATTTGTACTGCTCTTTTAGGGCTGGTGTGCAGTGCGATCTGGCTGAGGTCAGCATAGTGAAGATGCACTGAGCTTGGCAGAGATCACACTGTTTCCTTTTTGTTTTTTAAATGACCTTTGTTGACATCTCATAAAGTTCAGTTGCCAGATTAACTTTGCAAGGCAGTGGATAGCCTCTCACAGTGCTGATAAAACGTACTGCACCGTGTCATGAACCGGACATGTAGGAGACCAGGCATTTTACCTTATCCGTGTGGTGGGACTGCACTGGAATAGCCACCCAACGCAGTCCCAGAGCATCTGGTGTAAATATATCCTTTTGGGTTGTTTACTCCAGATGCGGTTGAATGTGTTTTTTTGAATAAGCATAGTTTATAAAACTATAGTGCTTTTGTGTGCATTAAAAAAAAAAATGTACAGAATGCTGCAATTTCTCATACATAAACATTCCAGAACTCGTGTAAACAAACGACTGTCAATACACATTGGTTAAAAAATTACAACTGCATATGTGGAGCTGTATACTGAATGTGAAGTTACAGTGTAAATGAGCCCTTAAAGCCGTATTGAAATCAAAAGCAAACATTTATTATGTTGCAGCTTACAAATTGTTAAGAAATATAGCCAAAGCTGCGGATCACAGGAGTGTGGTTAGGTGTGCACTCCAGTGACCCGTTTTCAGCCGACATCGGACTTCAGCCTGCTGTTGGCCGATGCCACAGAGCTGGTCCAGGCTCTAAAAAGATCCTGACAACATGGTCAGGATCCACCCAGAATCCTGGACCGGCACCTGGCTCATCTTCTGTGCGAGCTGCTGAGAGCCTGAACCAGCAGCTCCCTCCCACAGCTGGAGGGACACAGCAGAGAGCTGGTGACTGACAGTCATTGCTATCTGCACAGAGCGGAGGTGGAGAATTAAACTATCAGCGGTGTATGATTGCTCAGTTCTCTATGCAGAGCCAGCAGGGGGCAGGTGCAGCATCGGACTGATGCTTCATCCATCTGGGTGAGTATCATGTGTGGGTTTTTTCTTTCTACAGCCAATAATCCTTTTTTGTTTTTTAAATGTGATGGGTGCATTCGTTTTCTTTTTTAGGTTTGCTTTCTTCTACTTTCACCTGGAGATCCAGCCAGTAAGTCTGTTGTTTTTGAAAGGAACTAGCTCTTTTCCAGATTTTTTTTTTCCAGGGACAGGGATGTTGAATTTCTATTGCCCGACGCCCGAGTCATGTAGTTTTTTACTAGCCTTAGCCCTGCTGCGGCAAAACAGCGGGCTCATCTGTCAGGTGGAAGCAATCTAGCTCACGTTAGATTGCCCACACACTATCGCATTCACGCTATAGGTTGCTGTTCACTGTCATTACTAGTATAGAGTTTGTACAGATCAATATATTGATCATGAACAGAACTATACTAGTGCCTCCTTTGTATAGTGTCCCCAAAAACGCAGTGTTGGCAAGATCAGCCCCATTTGCTGTCAGCACTAGCGTTTAGCCCCTCCGCTGTTTTTCACAGAAGATTTCTATTGATTGTGGGCCAAAGCAATTTATACACACAGCAATACACTTCTGCCCACCCAAATTCAACTCCTGCCAGACCATTCGCATGAAAATCTATCACAGTTTCTGAATTTAAAACTTTTGGGTCTAATCCTCAACATGGGCAAAAGAATGAATTGCGGTCATATTGGTACACAGACCTGATTCATCATATGCCCATGTTCTCTGCTGTTACATATTTGCCAAACATGGATCAGCAACATACTGGTACATCGCTGGGCTTTGAGTGGTTAAAGCAGGATGATGCCTGCAGCTACAGCTCATCCTGGTATTGTTCAGCTGGCGGTCAGCTTTCATGTAAAAACAATCCTAGCCGCTAATTATCCTCTGGATCGCTTTTGCAAGCTACGGGAAGGGGCTCCCCCCAAAACTCCCTCCGCCTTCCAAGGGTTTCTTGGGCTCTCCCATCCCACTGGAGAACCCAAAAGTGCAGCTGAAAGTTCTGCTGGCTGACAACAGCCTGTCGGAAACTGGAATGCCTCCAATCATCTCAATGGTCTAAGACAGTGGTGGGCAACCTTTTTTTTTCAACTGAGCCAAATCTCGCCAAAACCACGATTGAAATTTATTTTGAGAGCCACATTTTTAAAACTGAAAATACATCCCCCATATAGTAATTCATCCCCCATATAGTAATTCATCCCCCATATTGTGTCAATTCACTTACCTTTGCTCCGCGCGTTCCTCTCGCCATGTTCCCGCGCCGTTCCGGTCTTCAGGGCGAACTGTGAGAGGAGAGGAGTTCGTCACGCTGCCCCGCCTACATCCTGACAGCCAATGTTTGCCGCGGGCCGGATTAAAAGGTCCGCCGGGCCGTAGTTTGCCCATTGCTGGGCTAGCTGCAGAGTCCTGACTTTTGGGGCGGCTGCCCGAGAGGAGGGAGGGGAGCGGGCGCCCGGCACACAGAAGAGCCGCATTAAAATGTGTAAAGAGCCGCGGCTTGCCGACCACTGGTCTAAGAGACTGGAAGCTACAAGCATTTCATCATTTCCATTTCGCCGTTTATAAACAGCGCCATTTTAAAATTGGGAAAGCATCTGATCACACCAATCTTTATGTGATCAGACGCTTTAAGGGCAGATCTAGAATCTAGAATCTAATAGACCCCTGATTTCTCAGAATAGAATACCTGTCACTGCCTAATGCTATCACAGGTGATATTTTAATTCCCTGTGATAACAATAAAAGTGATGAAAGAAAATGAAAGGCACAGTGTAAAAAAAAAAAAAAAAATCGCCCCTATCCCCTTGCTCGCACGCAAAGGCAAACGCAAGCGGCAGTCCCATGGCAGTATGTAAACAGAGCTTGCACCATGCATGTGAGCTATCACCGCAAACTAGTGGTGCACCAAAATGAAAATTCTGGTGCCGAAAACGAAAATTCAAAATGCACTTGGCCAAAAACCGAAATGCGCAGTTTTTAAAAATCAATATTTTTTGGAAAAAAATACATTTTGATAAAAAAAAAATATATCTATATATATATATATATATCCATCCCATTTTTTTTTTTTTTTTTTGTAAAATATGAAAGAGGATCTTACGACGAGTAAATAGATACCCACCATGTCACGCTTTAAAATTTTAAATTAAAAGCTGAAACTAAAAGTGGAGAGCAGCTCTAAAATCAATGGGCTACCTTTTGTGTCTCTTGTTTAAAAAAAAAAAAGAATGGGGGAAAATAGTTTGAGCCAGCTTGGGCCGACCAATTTATACTGACACTAAAGCTGGAGATCAACTTGAAAATCAGTGGGCTACCCTATGCAACACACACACACAGGGGTTGGTTTACTGAAGGCAAACACACTGTGTGCTTTGCAGCAAACCTTGCTTTCTATCATGTAAAAGCAAAAATGCTTTTTTAATTTTAGGGCACAAAAAGCAATAACTTATCCAATTTTTTTTTTTTTTAATATAAAAGACAAGGTTGCAGCGAGTAAATAGATGTCCAACATTTCAAACCTTAAATTTGCATGTGCTAGTGAAATGGCAACATACTTTAGTAACCCTATATGTTCTATAGGTGATGCTTCTAAAGCCCATTATAGGTCATCTGTTTAGTGAAGGAGGTCTGGTGCTAGAATTATTGCTCTCTGGTGTGCGTGGCAGTATGTAACGTGTATCGCAATCGTCATTTGCAGGCGTAGGCGCCCCAGCGGTTTTACATTTGTGCGTGTGTATATATGTGGGGGGGGCTTGAAAAATTTGTGCGGCGGGGGGGGGGGGGGGGGGGGGGTTATATGCTTGGGTGTAACTTTTTTTTTTTTTTTAAAAAACATTTTTCTTATCTTTTCCCTATGTGATGATTTTTAGTGACCGGTTCTCTTTTTTGAGACATACAGGAGCTAAAAGGCCTGTAGATGGGCAAGCGGAGCCCAGGAGACCGTGGGTTCGGAGGCTGACACCATAGTGGGTTGTGTGGAAGCAAACGTGTGGCAGCGCTGCAGCCCGATATGCTTTGCTTCCACTTGACAGATGAGCCCTGCTGCTTGCCTGCAGCAGGCGGCTAAAGGTAAAAAAAACTACCTGCCCGGCGCCCAGAACCACATGTCCCGGGTGTCGGGCGATATAAAATGAACGTCCCTGCTCCCTGTGACAGATGGCTATTGGGACAAGACATGGGAGCAAATCCCCTTAATAGGAACTCTGAAAGCAATAAAAACCTGAAATCTTATAACCCCTATCAGCGGACATTGTATAATTCAGTGTTTCGGCCACCAAAACATATCGGCCCGAAAATAGCCCTATTGGCATTCTGCTGATAGGAAAAATTTAGCCGATACAGGAGCTGATACAGGGAACTGTGTGTACTGCAGATGTGAGGGTGGGGGGGGGCGGCTGACACAGGCAGGACAGGAGCAGTGTATACAATGACTGGCTGTTACTATATGTCAGTGCCGGTTTTTAAATGTACTGTAATTACCGGCTTTTTTTTTTTCTTCACTATTATTATTATACAGTATATAGCGCTAAAAGATTTGCTCAGCGCTGTACATTATAGTGGGGGACAGAACATGAGACAATGCAGTAACAAAACACGAGGGGGTCAAGGGCCCTGCTCTTTCGAGCTTACAATCTAGGATAGCTCAGAGAATCGGCTATCACTTTCCCCCCAGTTAAAAGAAACAAAGTTTCCTTTTAGTTTCTTTCCCGAGATAAAAGAAACAGTTTCCTTTAGCTCTGGGGAAAGTGACAGCTAATTCTGTGAGCTATAGTAAAGAAAAAGCTGGCAATTGCATTTAAAAATCTGCACGGACATGTAGTGACAGCCAGTGAGGGAGCCTCTCTGTATACACTGCTACCTCACTGTATTATACACTGATCCTCTCCCCACACCCCCCTCCCCCCTACAAAGAGGACCTGTCACATTCTGAATTTTGGTATCGGTTTCGGAGATATATATATATATATATATATATATATATATATATATGCGCACACACACTGAATTTTTTTTTTTTTTTTTTTTTTTTTTGGTTGTTGTGTGGTTTGTTTGTTTTTTTGGGAGGGGGTTTTTTGGGAAACATGCTTGTTTGGTCATCCATGTTATTATTCATTCTCAACCTACTTTGAGATTTCTGTTTTTATCAAGCATAATTGTTTTCTTCTTTCAGGGTAAAATCTTTGGAGCACCTATTCTTTCCTTACCACAGTTGTTTATTCCAGAGTATGGGAGCATTCCAACGTGAGTATAAAATCAAAATGAAATTCACTTTCTTTCCTGTAGAGACAGTAGGAAGTGAGAGGATATCTTTATGATAGGGAAAATTCCCTATCAGACAGTTGTCACAGAAACAAGTTTCCCCATTTGAAGATTTCCCCTCTATTCCTGTTCTGTTCACAGCAGAAAATGTTTAATCTTTACTTGCTTTCATTCCCTGTCACATTGGTGATTTGGATAATCGGAGAGAGTGAATTTTATATATATATATATCTATATATATATATATATAATTTTTTTTTTTTTTAAGACGATCAACGAGAAAACAGAGGTGCAATTTGTAAAGTAATACCCATAAATCTTAGGCAATACAGGTGTACTGAAAAGGTATAGGATATGCTACAGTGGTATAACAGGCACGCATTAATGACATTCAAGTCTTGCTGCGATATGCAAAATTGTCAAACAATAGAATAGTTGTGTATTATGTTTATACCATTATAGAGCGTAATAATAAGAAACTAGACTGAGATCTCAGATGTTTTTAGTCAAGTCATAGTCTGGGTATGAGTGTTTATTGCAACATTAAGAAGATATGGTGTCTTAAGGGGAAGGCAGAGCAGCACAATCTCTCTAAATCAGTAAAGTGTGTGGTGTGGCGGAGTGTATGAGTTATTTAAGAAGTGCCTAATTTGCTGATATGCCCAGGGAGGAAAGGGCACAGATTGGTTAAATTCTTGCAAGGTATGTTGAGTGAAGAAGACACGTTTTTTATATACGTAATTTTGCGCACCCGTGCTACCATGTAGCAGTTTTACTGCTATTTGGTGGCGCAGAAGCGATGACCATGTGCTGTCAAACAAATGCTGCTAGGACATGCCACAGCTTTCGGTGCCCTGTCTGGTGGACAGGTGACTGTCTTCATTGTGTTCCATGGTATATCTAATGTCTTGGAAATTCTTTTGTACCCATCTCTTGACTGATACCTTTTAACAATGAGATCACTCTGACGCTTTGGAAGCATGGCTAACATCCCCAGTTATAAGAAGGTGTGCACCCACATTATTTTAGTTTTTATGTTTACTCCACCTCTAAAAGATTTCCGTTTGTTTTTCAATTGAGTTGTTCAGTTTATAGGTCTCATTTAAACGTGGAAAAAGTTCTGAAATTATTTATCTTTTGTTTCATATTTTACATCACCGAAACCTGACGTTTTACAGGGGTGTGTAGACTTTTTATATGCACTGTAGGTGTTGCATCTCTAGCTAACAGGAATGTGCTGGAAAATGACAGTGCGCTACTAGGAAGTGCCAAAGCGTTGCCCAAACATTGGGCCAACAATTATGTGGAACAAAGGAATTGAAAGCTACTGCTGGCATGCAGACAATTTTAGTTGTTTGCACTAAGGACTGTTTCATACCACAATTTCTGTGTTTCGGATGCTTTTTTGCATATGCGTTTACACATGTTTTTGATGTGTACCAGTGTTTTTTTTTTTTTTTTTTTTTTTTTTTTTTTTTCTTTTTTCTTTTGATAATTGAAAAATCTCAGGACAATGTGCATTCTGGTGCCTTTATGCTGCGTTCACATGTGTTCTTTTTTGCTGCATTCCATACAGAACAATATGCAGCAGATTCGACTTTTGTTGATTGCACTGGGCCATTGGTATACATAGAAAACACTGCATGCATTTTTATGCAAATTAAAAAAATGCATTGGACTGCATCTGTTGTGCACCACCCCTTATTCCAGCTGGCAGTTTTGGGGTAAAGTGGATTGCTAAAATTTGATGATATTCTTAAAGTTGCAAAAAAAACAAAAAATCAAAGATGTAATCTATTGTAGCTTACTAACCATTATATGTGGTGGCTGCATTTATTTTACTTTTTTTAGGCTTTCCACTGGTGATCCACCTCCTGTATTAGGCCCTTTCAAATCCTTTTTGTGTTTTTTTTTTTTTTTTTTTTTTTTTTTTTTTTTCTTTTTGCGTGATCTACACACGTTTCTGCATCTTTACGCATAGGGGCAGCCTGTTGACTTCAGTGGGCTGCCGTATGCGCATCTCCTTTTTGGGCAGTGAGCTTTGTGTGTTTTGCTGTGATTTCTGTGCATTACTTTCATGCGGCAACATCACACCATGTTTGAGGTGCCATTGAGAATGAATGTTACCCAAAAGTTGTGATTCCAAATGAATGGGGGCCTTAGAGTGCCCCCAATTTGGATGAATGAGCATAGGGGCCCAGAAGACAGCAGCACTGCAGCATTTTCAGTCTGGGGGAGGGAAGTGTTATATGCACCAGATTTAAGTACACTAGCAAACTGAGTCCAAGCTCCAACTCACACTTGATAAGTAGTTACAGGGAACAGTTTTCTTTTCCGTTTTGGGATAAAGGTTTTACATACACAGCTGGTTATTCTAAGCACCCCTGCCAGTGTTAAATGTTTTGTCTCATCCCATTAACTGATATATCTGCAAGAGATCTTGTTCTTTTTGAAAAACAACAAACTTACTGGCCGTATCACCAGTTGTAAATAGAAGAAAGAGAGCATAAAGAAGAAAACGAATGCAGCCATCACATCTAAGCATTGATAAGCTACAATATAATTTTTTGCTTTTGGGTTTAATACACACATTTCACATTAATTTATATATAGATTAAATCAGGGCTTGAAAAAGCCGCTCGCCAAATGTGAGGGGAAATCCTTGTGTGGCGAGCACAGATGGAGTGGCTCCACCTGCGCTCCAAGCCCCATTGTGAAGCCGACTTCCGGTTTCTGACTTCTTCTTCGGCACCGCCATTACACTGGCAGCGCCTCTGAGGGGACAGGTGCAGGAGAGGTCCGCTCTCCTCCGCTGAGAGGAGACACCCGCTCTCCACCGCCGCGGGGGGACTCAAGAGGTCCGCTCTCCCCTGCCGCGGGGAACGCGAGACATATTGGGGTTTATTTACTAAAGCTGGAGAGTCCAAAATCAGACTCCCTTCTGCATAGAAACCAATCAGCTTTCAGGTTTCATTGCCAAAGCTTCATTGAACAAGCTGAGGTTAGAAGCTGATTGGTTTCTGTGCAGAAGGAAGTCTGATTTTGGACTCTCCAGCTTTAGTAAATCCCAACGATGTCTCTTTTATATATAATTATATATAAAAGAGACATTTTATTATACCTAATATCTAATTTATATAGGATATAAAAGAGACATACCTAATATATAATTATATACAAGGATATAAAAGAAACATATTATATAATTCTGTAAACTAAAAACTTACACCCTATTGCTATTAAGCTATTGCTGTTATGTTTAAATTGACATAATAAAGCTATAATTGCAGTTTTTTTATATTTTGGACTCTTTAATCTAAAGAAAAATGTAATTGCATAAGCTTTAAGGGGACGTGGTTGGGGGTGGGGTTGGAGGAGGGCCTGTGCAAGTTTGGGTGGAGCAACTGGTGGAGAGTAAGGTTTATGCCTGGCTAGTAGAGCTAGACTCAAAATTTTATGTCCTGGATTAAATGGTTTGTTTATGACAGCCATTAATGTAAAAGGATGGGGACATTTTAATGATAGTCCACCTAAAGTTGTCTTTTTTTTTTTTTTTTTGTCTTTTCTTTGCTTTTGAAAGAAAAACATAAACAAGTGTCATGGTACTTTGTTTCAGGTTCCTTGTTGATGTGTGTAAGTACTTGGAGAGCCATGCTCACACTGAAGGGCTTTTTAGGAAGTCTGGATCTGTTGTGCGGCAGAAACTGCTAAAGGTAAAATTTATCCCAGTATTGGTCCATTCGTCTCTTCACTTTTACTACCAATTTCTATGTTGTTGCTTATGCTTAAACAGTAACTTCTGTCACTACTCTGATTTTTTTTTTTCTCCTGCACTTACCTGTCATGCAGCGATGTTCTTGATTCAGATACTCCTATCCCCAGCAGATCTAACGTTGTCCTACGTACCGCATTTGCAGCAGCCCATTTCCCGTGCTGCCATCTTAGTTATCCTCCGTCATCACAAGTTGTCTATAACTATGAAACAGCCAGCGCTCCTAATATAAAACACTAGTGATTATAAAAATATTATTTAGAAATGTCAAAAACCAGAATCTCTACCAGTAAGTCTGTCAAAAAATACAAAGTGCTTCCAATTTAAATGCAAAGTGCAGTAATAAAAATTGCAACAATAAATACAAAAAAATGTTCACAATCTGCAAAGTGAAAAATAAAATGAAGTAGTGCTGAAACAGTGTCCCACTCCTCCACCATAAAAAAGTTCAAATGTTCATCACCCACAACTGGATGGTCAAATAATATGGAGTTCTAAACAGTGAGAAAAATAGAGCTCCATAAAGTGATCCACCCAGAACTGAAAGTTCATTGGTGTTCCATTCACAATAGAACCACAGCAATCCTGTGCACACACGCTGAACAGCTGTAACTCGCTAGAAAGGACAGACCTTTATTGCAAAACAAAGGTAAAACTCACCTAATGGAGTTACAGGAATCTCTCCTTCTCTTACTCAGATCTAAATAACTCCACTCATGGACAAAGAAGAAACAAAGGGGGACACATAGCATAAAATCATTAAAATCCTTTTTACGAACACATAAAATCCTATATCACACTCACATTTGTTGTTGCCCTCAATAGTGTCGGCCCCAATAAGAACGCTATACAGCCTGAGGTACTGTCAGCTGTCGCAAGACATGGCTACTCTGGAAAGTCACCTGGAATCATGCAAACGTCAATGCTAGATGTTCCTCAATCATTAAAGAGATTGGAAAGTCATAATTTTTTTTTTTTAAATAGCAAACATGTCATACTAGCCTGCTCTGTGTATTTAGGCTTTGCACAGAACAGCCCGAATCCTCTTCTCAGGACCAGTGCTCCTAGCTGCTCTTCTCCTGCTAAGTGCCCCACATTAGCAAGCACATTGCACACTCGTGCATGCTTGCTCCCAAGCTGGCTTTGTGTGTCCATTGCTTCCCCCCCACCCCCCTCCCAAAATCCCCCCGCAATGGCTGTGATTGAAAGCAGCAGGAGCTGAGAGTTGCTGCCCATGAGGAGAGAATCGCTGCTCTCCTGCACAGTGCTGGATCGAGATTGGGCTTGGGTAAATATTAGGGAGATCTACGTATACAATGTAATAAAGCGGAACTTTACCCATAACTTGATTCAAAAATGTGTTTTTTAGCAAGGAACATGCATTTCACCTTGAAGAAGAACTCCATTAGTGCACCCCCCTACACAAAACACTGAACAGTTAGCAACATTTTAAAAATCCTTACCATTTAGGAGAAAAGTCTAATTGAATTTACATGACCTCATCTCTAATTCAAAAGAGAACAGCATCTGCTCTGCCAAGGAAGAGGTGTAACAGCTGGGATTACATCATATTCTCTCCTCTCTCTGCAGTAAAAGGAAACTAAAGTTCCCTTCAACCACAGGGAATTGTAATGAATATGGGTGGGTACATTAGGCCTGTACATGTTCAATGTGTCTGACAGCCTTGGTCCGCCCACTACTGCAAGTGGGGCTGAATTACATCACTGCTTCTTGGAGAAAGAACTACAGAAGAGATGTGGCTGGGGGAATAGGAGGCATAGCTGCCACTGATCTTACAAACCGGAAACCAAAGAGAATTAACAGTTGGATTTGAAAATTAATAGGCTATTTCAGAGAAACTGAGTGAGCCAAAAGATGGATGACATATTCAGTGAAGATGGGAAATCAGCAACACGGACCTGTAAAGAAGTTTTTGCTTAAGAGTTTTGCGTTAATTATGCTACCAAAATTGGTGTGTGCTGTAATATATTTTCAGCATAGTCTGTCTCTTCTGGCCAAAGGCTGCCATTTTGTTGAAGCCCAGAGTCCTGAGCAGCAGCAAATCTTTACGTTGTCAGCAGATCGGCGTCTAAAAATTTGGAACAGTGCTTAAAAATAGAGAATTTAGCATGTGCAGTGTTACTGGATTTTAACCGCTTCCATACCGGGCACTTTTACCTCCTTCCTGCCCAAGCCATTTTCAGGTTTCAGCGCTCTCACACTTTGAATTACAATTGCGCGGTCATACAACCTTGTACCCTAACTAAAATTTCATCATTTTCTTCACACAACTAGAGCTTTCTTTTGGTGGTATTTAATCGCTGCTGGGGTTTTTATTGTTTGCTAAATTAACAAAAAAAGACCGAAAAATTTGGGAAAAAAAACACGTTTTTTTCTTTGTTTCTGTTGTAAAAGTTTGCAAATAAATAATTGTTCTTCATAAATTTAGGCCAAGATGTATTCTGCTACATGTCTTTGGTGAAAATAACCCAAATTAGAATGTATTATTTAGTTTGTAGGAAAGTTATAGAGTTCACAAATTATGGTATAGATCTGAATATTGATCAATCCTGAAGTACTGACAGCCAATCTAATTTCTTGAGGTCCAAGAATGTCAGAACAGTACAGATATCCTCCAAATGACCCCTTTTTACAAAGTAGACAGTCTGACGTATTTCATAAGAGGCATGGCAAGTTTTTTTTGAAGTTGTCACTTTTTTGTCATTTTTCGAAAAATGAAAAAATTTTTAATTATTTTCACTTTTTTTTTTTTTTTTTTTTTTTTACATAATGTCACCAGTGCAGTACAGCGTCGCCATATAACTAGCATGGCGGTGATCAGGAACACTAGTGACGGGTATGAAAAAAAAAATTAATTTTTTATTTTTAATTTTTTATTACATTTTCTTTTTTTTTTATATTTCACTATGACCAAAGTAGTACAATGTTACCATAGTAACATTGTACTACTTTGGGGAAGTGATCAGTAATTTTTTTTTTTTTTAACACAATTTGCTAATAGCAAAGAATTCCTTTGCTATAAGCAAGCATTTACCTGAATGACATCGATTCATTCAGGGTTTGTTTTTGTTTTTTTGTGCTTAGCTGTGATTTGGCCAGGGCTAATCACATGACACAGCTGGGCTGTGATTGGCCCAGCTTGTGCATGTGATCGCTGTGACCATTCACAGCTAGACACTAGTATACAATGGATGGCATGAAAGGAAGCCATCCATTGTATACAACTGTCATGTGACCTGCTGTGATTGGTCACAGCAGGTCACATGGTACCAGCAACGGGGCCGGTACTCGGATCTGTCATCGGCCATGTCCGAGGTACACGGCCGGTGACAGATCGCGCGGCTCTGCGGGCATACAAACTACACATGCTTGAAAGGACGCCATATGGCATCCACCCGGAGGGACGAGGGGTTTTTCAGGCCACCATCTGCAGCTATACCTGCAAAAGGGGTCATCCTGAATCAATCTAGCAGGACTCCATTTTCTGACTAAAGTTTCACTTGAAGGCAAAAAAAACCTTCAGCCTTTAGAACCACTTTCATTTCTGTTGGGATTTTTTTTTTGTCTCTCTGCTTTCTATAGGCTAAGCTTGATGGAGGTGATAGTGACCTCATGGATGCTCTTCCCTGTGATGTGGCTGGTATTCTCAAGCAGTTTTTCCGAGAGTTACCAGAACCCATACTTCCTGCAGATCTCCAGGATGTGCTGTGCAAGGCCCAGCAATTGAGCCATGATGAGAAGACCTCTGCAACCATTCTGATATCTTGCCTAATGCATGAAAGGGCAGTTTCTATCCTGCGTTACTTTTTTAACTTTCTGCAGAATGTCTCTATGAGGTAAGAAATATCAGTTTTTGGTAGATTTGGTTATAAAAATACTTATGGTGTACCTTTTTTATTAATGATTAATGTGGCCTGCAGGTCTGACACCAACAGAATGAACAGCAGTAACCTGGCTGTGATATTTGCTCCTAACCTTCTACAGACAGGGGACAGTGAAAAGATTTCTTCAAGCACAGAAAAGAAGCTGCGTGTTCAGGCAGCAATAGTGCAAACACTGATAGACCAGGCATCTGATATAGGTGAGATCTAAGGTTTAATTGTAACTATGATATGCTATTGATTTTTTTTTTTGGGGGGTATTAAGTATACAAAATGTGTTTTTTCACTTGTTTAAAGTAATCTGAATGTGAGGTTCTTAGCATGGCTGTTAAAAAAAAAAAAAAAAAAAAAAAAAAAAAAAAGTAGAAAAAGGGCCATCTGGGTTAGAGATAAAATCAGACTTTAGTGGTTAAAGTATTACTAAACCCATGACCTGCATTCACTATATCTGGTCTCACACAGTACACAGAACATGGAAGTGCAATTATTTTAGTAAATATAAACTGCTAAATACTAGTTGTGCACTGAAATTAAAATTCTGGTACTGAAAATGAAAATTCTTAGTGCACTTGGCCGAAAACCAAAATGCGCAGTTTTTTTAAAAATGAAATATATTTTTTGGAAAAAAATACACTTTGATTAAAAAAAACTATAATATACCCCAATTTTTTTGTAAAATATGAGAGGATTTTACAGCTATTAGATATCCAACATGTCACGCTTTAAAATTGGGCACCCTCGTGGAATCAACTTTAATAATTTCTACAAGTTAGCAGTGTAAAGTTAGAGAGGTCTACTGCGAGAATTGTTTATTTCAGGTACTTATATAGCGCAGTCAATTTACGCAGCGCTTTACATATATATTATACATTCACATCAGTCCCTAACCCTCAAGGGGTGTACAATCTAAGGTCCCTAACTCACATTCATACATACATATACTAGGGCCAATTTAGACAGGATCCAATTCACCTACCAGCATGTCTTTGGAGTGTGGGAGGAAACCGGAGTATCGGGAGGAAACCCACGCAGGCACAGGGAGAACATGCAAACTCTAGGTAGGAGGTGCCGTGGCTGGGATTCGAACCAATGACCCTAGTACTGCCAGGCGGAAGTGCTAACCATTTAGCCACTGTGCTGCCCCATTGCTCTTGCTCTGCTGTTCCTGGCGATACTTCACGTGTGTGTTTTGAACACCATTTACATATGTGGGCATGGCCTACGTATGTGTTCACCACTATGTGGGGGTACGGGGGCAATTTAAATTTTTTTTTTTTTTTTTTTTTTTTAAATGTATTTAATGTGGTGGGTTTTTTTTTGGGCTGTTTTGGGGTTGTTTTTTTTTTTTTTTTTTGTTTTTTTTTTTTTTTTTTGCACTATCCCTTAAAAAAAAAATGTAAGCCTTTTTATTCTTATAACAAGAAATGCATGCATCCCTTGTGATAGAAATAATTAGTGACAGGTCCTCTTTATGGAGAGATATGGGGTCAATAAGATCCCACATCTCTCTTCTGCAATGTAAAGCATTGGATCAAAAAAAAGCATTGATCTAGTGCTTTTAAAAAAATGGCCAGAACCGGAAGTGACATCGCTCCGTTCCTCCAAGAGCATAGAGATGAGTGGAGACCATCTGTCCTTCACTAATCTCTATGCCCAGCACTGGGATCGTTCAATGGTTTCTCAGGTAAGGCTGAGAACTACCGAGGGGCGGGGTTTTTTTTCGGCACCTGTATAGGTGCTTTTTCTTTTTTTCATGACAGCCGAAAGGAGTGTTTTTTGCCCAAAATGTTTTGGCCACTGAAATTTCGGTGCATCCCTACTAAATACCTTTTCTCATCAGCAGTTACAGTAGTCTGGTGACTTCAGCTGAGCACTGGTTAAAGCTTGTAGGAGGAGTTTTCTTTCTTCTCTAGGAGGATGCAAAACCCCTCACCTCTGTCTGAACAGTGCTGATTGGCCCTGTGCTGATCACATGCACTCTCCCACGAAAAAAAAAAAAACCTCTATAGCAATACTCACTAAACTGAGCATGTGCAGAAGGGCTACTGGTTCAGTCTGTCTTATTAGCGTGGACATTTGAACAAGATGAGGGGAGAGAAGAAAGGATCAAACAGCCTTTTTACACAGTGCAGAGGATTAACCTCTTAGGTTCCACAGTGAGTATAACAAGCATGCTTTACTGCATATTCAGACTGATTTTACTGCTCTGGGTTCAGTAACACTTTATTTCATGTATAGTATTAGCAGTGAGCCTCCATAAACTAAACTCCACAATGCCCCATTTGCTAGTGTGTGTACTGAGCTCACTTCAGCTCAGGTCCAGGGGCGGACTGACCATTTGAAAACTCGGGCACTGCCCGAGGGCCCGGGGTCAGTAGGGGGCCCCATGAGATGCCCCTGGTACCTTTTTTCATAGGCTTTTTTGAGTTTGGGCAAGAACACAGGGGCCCCATGATCCTCTATTGCCCGGGGGCCCCATGAGTTGCCAGTCCGCCCCTGCTCAGGTCATCCATTCCTATTGTCTTGTGGGTAGTGTGTTTGGTGGAGTTTGAAATGCTCAACCTTTGGAACAGTGATGCATCATAGAACCATTCATAAATAAGAAAGTATGACAATTATCCAGTAAAGCTTAATTCCAACGTTCTTTTCGTTAGAAACGAATGGAGTTATCAATACCAGAACAGATTATACCTCTATACCATGTTGCTCTGTTGTCTGCAGATCCCCTGATATTCTGGGTTTAGTTGTTGTTTTGTGTCATGTGACATACTGCATATCCTGTTGAGAGATATTTATTTTCCTTTCACAGCCACTACCTGCAGTGAGCAGAGTCTGTACACGGTCAGCATGGCAAAGCACGCATTTTCTGAATGGGTTGCCGTGCACTCAGAAACATGCAAATGCAAACTCAGTGTTAATGGCACCGTGAGAGCAACGAGCGCTTGGTGGGCATTGCTGTTCTGGTTGCGCAAACAAGCATGCATGAGTATCTGGGGCTCATCTTAGATATAGCTCAAGCCAGAGCTTTTCTACCTTAGTGGAAATGTCCAACTCTTCATTCCAGGAGTCACTTGAATCTCTACTTTTGCTTAGGAATTCTGATATTGATGGCAGCTTCCTTTTGTAGCAGCTCCATTTGCCCAGTTCCATTGCAGACTATTACAACTCCACATCCTGTCATCATGGGGCAAGTTGATTCAGTTGTTGGACAGATGAACTGGCCTGTCACTAGGTGGATATGGTACTCCAGTCTAATCAGCTGCCTGGCAGATGCTCCCTGGGCTTGTTAAGATCACCTGGATTTTCTGACCCAAGGACGCTTCCTTAGACTTGGATTCCCTCCAGCTCCCTCTACCCGATAGCTCCCTCAGCTTTCTCAGTCTCCCAGATCCTCTCTTCTCCCAGACCCTCTTAGCTGTCCTGACTTACCCAGTCCTTGGGCAAGGAATTCCCCTCACAGGGGATGCAGTCTTCAACAGGAACACCCAGCCCTCCTGACAGGGCTCTGTCTGCAAATGGCAGCAACTGGCCTTAGCTATTCTCAGACTTGATTTATAACAAACCTACACACCTGTGTACTCATAGAGGCCACAGATGTCAAGAAGGTTCCATGTTCAAGACACTTTAAAAACCTTCATGCTCCAGGCCCCAGTGTGAAACTTCCAAATCTGGAGAAAACAAAAAGTAGTCTAGAACTTCACATTAAGCCTGAATTCTGAATCCTGTGTCATTTCTAACTTTATTTTTTTAAGCAGAGCCTCGCCTCACAGGTTCTAGTCACTTCTTTTTTTTTTTTTTTTTTTTCTTTTTCTTTTTCTTTTTCCAGTGTCCAAGTCCTCCTGTACGCAGCAATATATCACATCAGTCTCTTAATCCCTGTGTCCTTAAATTTTTAAATCCCTAGAAATGATTTTACCGTATGTACAAAACACATTGTGCATTTTATAATCGTAAATTTTTTTTTGTAGGTTGCGTGCCTAATTTCCTCCTTGAGAAAATACCAGGCATGCTGGGAATGGATGTTGGCTCCAATACACCTGGAGCTGAGCCATTAGAGGAAGGTGATGCGGACTCCCCTGGAGAGAGGAAGCGCAGGAGGCGGAAAAGTGTTGGAGGTAAGGTGTTAGGCCCTGGATGGATTTACTGGTGCAAGAGAAGACCTCTAAGGACTATCTTGTAGCAGTGAATAGTTGGAGGCATGTGCTATTTTCTAACAGGATGCAGATCTTATGATGAAAGCAGACACTCTGGAGAATAAATTGGTGGTAGTTTCAATGTTGTGTGTCTCACAAGATTTCCTTAAAGACTCTAAAGTTCTTTTTTAGGGCACTAAACTCAATATATTACCCAATGTTGTTGTGACAAGTTCTCTTTAAAGGATAGGCTCACCTTCTGGAACATTTTACATTTTCCACCTGTTTTTATGATGGAACATGTTCCCGTTCCTGCAGCGGCTTGATGATCCAAGCCCTCTGTGTCAGCAGTACAGAGAGAAGTTCCCCATACCAGCTTTAATTTTTATATAAAAGAACACGGCATACGGGGCTCCCTTTGCGGATATCGACTTGTAGTTCTCAATGAATGACCACGGGGTTGTTGAGTGATGTGGTATTTTACTGATTCTCCCTGTTATTGTGAAACTGCTTACCCGTACCATATATGGACAGACAGATTACACTGATAGTCTGCAGGAGTCCTGAATGGCTCCAGCAATGCTTTTCAGGCTCCTTTTTTTTTAAAATAAATAAATGGAAAAAAAAAAAAAGCACTTTTTTTTTTTTTTTTGTTTTTTCTTCTTTTTAACCTGTAAAAATAATGTGCATTTATATTTTAAAAGGTGAACTTGTCTTTTAATGATACATCAGGGATTGTGCTGCATTAGCTTCTTCTCCAGTCACATCAGCTAGAGTAAGTGACAGTGTGGCATTTATACACATCTGTTCCAGGATCTTACTAGGTAGAGGAGATCAGCAAACAGATGTTCGCTGGCTTCCCTCCCCTCTATTTGAGCCCACAGGTGGGGACAATAAAGATGGCACAGGCCCAACACTAATACATTTCCTCATATCAGCTACAACTGGAAGATACAGACGTAATTATATAATACCTGGTGGGTATCCCAGAAGCTACACTAGGCCTTGACGTAGAGTCAACGGCAACAGCTTTTATGAATAATATTCTGGGTAAACCTCACAATGATAACTTTAGAGC